CCTGTTTTATGGTATATAGAATGTTCAGTTGTCTTCTCTATGCTGATGCTGTTAATCCAACTACATTGATGACAACTTTTTTGATTGACAGATTGTGCAAAAAGATTTCACCTCATTGGTAGCCGATTAGTATGCCATTTCTTGCTCCAAGGTGTGTTTTTCACTCTTTAATTATTCTCAACCACTGTTTCAGATTTCTTTACCCATTTGGTAGAATATTACAATTTAATATAGTTGATCCTTGACGAACATCCAGACTCCAATGTATAAAGACACATCTGACACCCTCGACTCCATTTTGCCAGATTTGAGTCACTGCGGTTTGCTGTATTTTTTTTTTCCTCCGCGTCACCTTTTCATTAGTGTATCTATATTTATGTCTTGTAGTTGAACAGTTAAACTTTTGTTATCAGTTAAACATCTATGGGCGAAGCAATTTTTTAGGGGATGAACATGATCTTGTCGAGTGTTGAATATGATATACTTGTATACATGAGAAAAATATCGATCGGTACTTGCATGTGGCTTAACGTCCTGAGTTTAATTTGATGTTGATTAAAAGTAATTATTGAACAACTCTTGCAATAATTGTGGCCAAATTAAGTGGACTATAAAGTATAAACATGTGCAATAAGTTTCTTTCAACTGCAAGGACTCGGAATTCTTCTGGACTTCTGACCCCGTGTTTTTGCTTTCTTGTGAACGCTCATTTTCAATCAAGAGTATTTAGCCCTGGTTTGATTTGGTTAAAAATCGGATATTTAGTAAATTTTGATAAAAGTTGATGAATGTTGTGGATTCCATAAAATGTGTAGTTGAAAATTAGTTTGAGAAAAAATGAGATTTAAAAAATGGGTCCAAATAATTAAATTTCTTTCACGTGTAAAAAGTTGTATCGGTTTTTACCAATATCGAGTGAACACTGTTTGCTGAGGGAAATCTAAATCTTTTAGAACATCGATGGTTATTATTTGAGTGACTCAATTCATTAACTTAAGAGCTTACTTTTCAACAAGATTTCTGATATATAAGACGTGAAAGTTTTTATTATTGCTGTTCGATAAAACAATATTCAACAATGATAAAACATACATCACTGTCGTGACATAGCCAAGTGACTTAGAAAAAACTAAAAATCAATCTTAGGAGGCATCGACATGGACGTCTTCCCCATCACACTTTTTTACTTGTGACCCAACAAAAATTACAAATTTATGTATTTATTTAGTTACTTCGATTTTTACTCATTTTGAGTATTAAGTTTTTCAAGGTGTACGGATTTATTGGATAATGAAATATAGTTTAGGGTGTTGACGCTAGTTTCCGCCAACAATCTTGAATAATTATTTGAAATGGTAAAAATACGTGAATGCCTTGTAGGACGGAATTACTCTATTTCTTGAATATTGAAGTGCAAAAATTTATGTCCTTTTGGCAAAATTTATAAATAAATCACGAAATTTTATTTTCAATTATCCATTTCAATAGATCCACAAGTATGTTTATCCACCACTCATTTTTATATTTTTATAACTAAATCATTTATAAATTCTTCTCAATTTAAAAAATTCAATTTGTTCTATATCAAAATCCAGATGACCTTCTAGCATTATACAAAGGAAAACTCCTTAAGTATAGGGATTCTTTCACGGAATTTTATAGATACTGCTGTGGTAGCACCTGATTTGCAGACAATTTTTTTCTTGCTATCTGCCAATCAATCTATGCCATGTGGAACTCTATAAATGTTTTTTGTGAAAATTCTTATGCACCTATTTTGTCTGAACATAGACATGGATGGATCGATCTTTCATTAAATAAATAAAAGCAAAATTTTAGCCAACTAAATGTAACGAAATTGTTTTCCTGTCGTACTATCCACTTGCTGATGTATCATGAGAACTTTATTTACAGTTATCTCCAAATGTGAGAACCGTAAGTATCATTCTCTTCAAGTGGGCAATATAAGACTTTTCACATTAAACAGAGAACGTTTATGCTAAATGTAACTAGACACACATAATTTGTGCTAAAATGTCTGGCTAAAAAGACATTCCGTACAATTTAAGTCAACTTTTCCTAACAAATAGACTCGCATTTCCCACGGCTGAATCATCGTCACAATTCAAGCACACCCATGCCTTTTTTACTCGCGATTTTGCATGTAAGTGGAATCTCAAATTTACATGTTGGGATTAAGATTTAGGCCCGTTCGGGAGGGATTAAAAGTCAATTAAAATTGAAAATATGACCGTTATTGGGTCTCACTCGTCTAATAAAAGTCAACAATAACGGCTATTTTTTCAATTTTAATCCGATTTTAATCCCTCCCATACAAGGCCTAAGTGGTTTTTCTTTATTTAGATTTTCTATTATTCTATTTA